TATGTTAAAGTTCATCACGAATGGGGCGGGAAAAAGGATTATTCCTCCATGCCGTATATTTTTCAGCTCTTTTCTTCCTCCTTCCCGCTTAAAAAAAACCCCCAGGCTGCCACGAATTAAGTTTGCCCGTGCAAGCATGTGTTTTTGCGCTAAACTTGCAACAGTCAGATCGTTAGCACCATGAACAATTCCTACGTTACGGTTTAACAAGTGGACACATGTTGCCTATTTTTTGGTGTTTTTTTGCAAGCGGAGAAAAAAGGGCGCTGGTTAAAATGGTAGCGTTCTATCATGCGGTCACATGAACCTACAATGTGTACGATTGCCAATCTTTTGCGTGAAGCACAGTCGTTTTCCTGGTGAACAATCGCTCATCGGAAAATACAAATTTGAAAATGCACAGGATGTTGGAACGGAGGGATTACGAAATCAGCAAAACGCACTCGCTGTCTAGTTTGCGATAAAATCGACTATTTCTCATGTCTTTGCGCCGGGAATTTAGTTCCTACGCTTCATTTAGGTCGAATGTGAAGTAGAGAATGTCTTTGCAAAGTTACAGTCTCGCAGCTTCCTTGGGAAGTAAAACAGACAATCCACTACAAATATCTTTGAAGTGCCCTGAGTCATAGCGCAAGTGCAAGTCGAAACTCGTTTTAGATATATGATTTCTCAAATGAATGATAAATATTCTGAGAAATTTTCAGCTACAATTTCCCGGCTAGTTTTCGAGTTGACACGGTGCTAACTGCGAAATTTGACGTGGTTGTATGAATGGTATAGGCATGCAAAATAGCTGGATTTGAAATTTTTAGCCCACATATGCACAGAGATTGACTTGCAAATTCTCAGCTCCATCTCATCTGTTCCCAAGATCGCTTCCTCGCCAAAAAATTTATGGATTTTCTGAGGCGGTCGTTAATTCCAGACGTACGTGAGCGAAGATTCCCGGTCGTAATGATATTTCCAGCCGTAAGGATGACACCTGTGCTCAGAAGAGGCTCGCAAAACTTCAGCTTTCCTGGTTGCTTAGTTAAAAATGGATGACAAAGTTCACCCACCTCCTCCCTCCTCTTCCACAGACACGCACACTGCATGCTTCTTAACAATATGCGTTTGCTCGCTACAGCAGCACCATAGCGCAGCATAGGAAAAATGCATAAAAATGTGAATGAAAAGAAGTCGTTTGAGCCAGACAGCAACAGAAACAAAGACGTCATTTAAATGAACTCTTAAAATCCTCCTCCCTTCTCATTCACCTCAGAAAATGAACATCTGATTAATATTTTACGCTTGCATATGTCGACGCCAAATCCTATGCTCTTTGATTATAGATACTCAACAAATCATACATTTAATAATACAGTGCAAGCCTCAATACTACCACGACGGTCGACTGGTAAAACTTTCAGCGTAACTTACAAGATATCACTTTTGGGATCAAACTGCTCACTCTTCGACCCCTAATTCAAATTTCTGCATACATCAGTGAATAAAAATGTTCAGCAGACAGGTACGAGAATAAAGTACAAACATATTCACAACAAAGTCGACTTACACAAATTATGCTCATTTTTAGGCACAAATTATGCTCATTTTTATTTAGACGCATTTGTGCCAGTCTGCACACATTACTTTTTATACGCGTAGCATATTTATGGAAGTGCAAAAACACATACTGACGACAAACTGGCAGTATATGTGTTCGATCTTTTGTCATTCACTTTCAACTACGCAACCG